ATTATTCCCTATTTTGTTTGCCAAATATATTCACACATTTCTCTCGATAAAAACAAAGTAAATTAAAGTATGGCCCAAATTAAAACTAGTGATTAAGGTAAAAAGGGAAAGGTGTCTGTGTGCCATACAATAAAAAACTCCGTGGATAAAGAATAATTCAACTTATGCATAAAATACTGGAACGTTCAAATAACAAAGTGCAATATTGATATAAATATTTGCAGGAATGTCGCGAACACTGGATTCTTAATACTTATACAAGTCGAGATATTTCATATTTTTTATGTCCGTTTATTTTTTCTAGTAGAAGAAAGAGCTACATTTATTTGAAAATTAACTTTCTAAAAGTTTTAAAACAATAAATATAAAATCACTAGTCTAAAAATCAAATGTAAATTAATAATTTATCATTGTTAATAATATATGAGGATGCTACAAGGTGGTGAAACATGTCTTGGAAAATAAATGAAAATTTTTCATTTATTTATATAATCATGGATTTCCTAAGTAACGGTATTCTCATAACGAAATGGAATCACGAGTGCAATGAGATCATGACCCACTGCAGCCTCAGAGTTGTTAGGAGGAGATGGATGTCAGCAACTACATACTTGAATTATCAGTATCCTAAATAAACCATGATTATCAGTATGCTAGTCAACATAAAAGTTATCAAAGTAAGTAAAGTAAAGTAAGTAAAAAACGATGCAAGGAGATGGTGAATCCAATATGAAAAACCAAATATTGAATAGTGTAAAAGACTCAAGATAATCTAAAAGGTTTATGACAAGAACGACGATTTAAACGAGAATTAAAACGAATTATAGTAAATTTGACAAAAGATAGAGAACATCAGCTTAATAATCTGATAATCTAGTTTCAGTTCCCTATCTGTACCTATTCGCGTCTCAGAAAAAATGTAATTAGATACTATAAATGATAAAATAAACATCCCCCATTAACAGAGGAGTACGAAAAATAAATATAAAATACCGAACAGATGCGGAAAATATCACATAAACAAAATGATGTAGCTCTTCAAATTCAGGATTTCAAAGTTAACAAATCGATCAAGAACCATACTTCCAGTTTTCACTAAATCCCTGCTACATAGTCACACTTACCTCTTACAAGCATATTTTAAGTCACCTAATTCGTTAGTTCATGAAAAATAAAAAGTAAAAAAACGTTTTAAATAATTTTTAAACTTAAATAATAACTAATGGTTTATAAATACGTGTCGGACGAATAATTAAAATCATAATAATAATAATTTGACTAGGTCAAAGAAGAATTGAAAGTCTTCCTCTACCGTTGAGAATTTTCGGTGTACCTATCAAAACGCTTATTAAGATTGTTGAAGTAGACCATTCTTCAATACGATTACTTTAGATCTGGAAATAAAAGAAATATTAAAGTATTAAAAATTTGCGACAGTAAGGTTATGTCCACATGGTTGTTGCAAAACTGGTAACATGTTAACTAATTAACTAGCTCCTAGTTGGGTAAGTGAGGTTGGCATTAGAGTGAACCATTTGCCACAAATTGGAACTCTTATTTAAAATAATTGATATAATACTCCATATTGAGATGACGTCATAGCACAATATATTATTGGAGATTAGGTTAATGATTCTAAACAAACCGAATTATCTATGTTATTGCGACCACAGTTCATCTTAAGCTCTTCACAGAAATCATTTCAAATTAGTTATCAGTTGGTCAAATCCGAAATAAAAATAATACGGAGGCAAAATGACATCTAATACCTCATATTGACAAATCAAACATTTCCCTTTCAAAAATTGTTCTTAGCCCTTTATAACCTTCCGAATATGTAGTTATAAATTATTATACTATGGAATGAATTCACAAACAAGTTTGTTTCCAATTAATATTTCCCTCTCTATCTCTGTCTAAGTTATGGTGTTAAATATAGGCCTCCTTCATTGCCTTCTGTTCTCCATACTTCATGTTATCCTCTCGTCTTGCTATCTCCCAAAAATTCCCATTTTAGTTTTGTGACTGTCTTTTACTTTTGTTTATTAGTCAATCGTATCTTCTTTTGTCTCGTGTATATAGTATACTGCTATTTCTTTTATTTTATATGGTCCAGTCATGGTTATAAGCTGTACAAATTATATTCTTCTACCTTTTCTAATCGTTTGATTATTTATTGCTATTTCTGGATCCTCTCTGTACGTAACTTTGGTCTTATACATATTCATTTTTAGTCCAATATTTTTTGCCTTTTCTTCCAATTCTAGGATCATATGTTTTAGATCTTCGTTGCTACGTGCGATGATAACTATATCATCTGCAAATCTTTGGTTTTCAGACCTTCTCCAGATACTTCAATCCCTTGTTGATCCAATTGAGCCTCTTAAATATTTCTTCTAATGTAAGAGTAAATAATGTAGATGATATTTATTGTATCTCCCTGCCTTATTCCTCTTTTACTTTATATATTTGTTGATGGGTAAGTCTAAGTGTATATGTTGATTTCTGTTATACATTATTTCTTATTGTTCTAAATTAATAAATACTCGAGAGTCAACTGCTACAAATATATTGCAGCCTTCGTTACAGAGGACCTATATACAAATAGAAGAATCATTGAAAAAAATCTGAAAATATGAAGAGTTGGTTGTGGTCAAGTTCGGAAAAAAAACGAAAAAGTTAACTTCATAAGAAGGTCAGAGAAATATGCATGACACAGATATTTACAATAACAAGCTTGTCAAACAGGAAGTGAAATATAGCATAAACAGAGCTGAAAGCAGAAGCTATATAAAGCTATACGATAAATTTAATCAACGAAGAGTATAGGGAAAAATAAAAAAGACGCCAAATCATACAACTCAAAGAAATTCCCAAAAATTTTTAGTACAAACTAACATAACTGACTATAATACAAAAATTGAAAAAAGAAGTGAAACAATCGAAAAAAATTTACAAAAACTGACGACTTGGCTCGCCAGCTGTAATCGACACACGATTTTACATGACGAGACGATTAAAAATATGATGCGGACGAGCCTCGTAGGTATTTAAAACTGAGGTATTGCAATGATACACTGGCGAGCTTTAACGACAAGCCATAAAAAGGCGGTTTTATTCGCCGGTCCTTTACCAGGTCCTTTAATTTAATTAGATGTATACGGGATCGGGATAAAAACAATACAATAATGAGACACGAATAGTAAACAAAAATATGTTTTGCATCCTAATAAACGAGAAGTTTCACAGAGAACCTGCAGACAGATAACTGCAATAAAGTCCAAAATAAACGAGTAAATTATAAAAAATTTACGTAAAATAAGGAACATAAAGCAGTCGCAACAAATAATATTCTCTGGATAAGTATGAATATCATTAGAGGAAACAAGAGCAAGTTGGCTAACAGGTTTATATAATTATGGATGTCGAGAAATACCGGATAATTGAAGACGTAACATCATAGTACCTACGTGTGTAAAAAACGAAGGATGGTATAGCTATAAGAATGTATAGTAAAACTACCTGGCCATACCATGAAAATATGGGAGAGAATAATTGATAGAATAATACAACAACAATAGCACTGATTACATAAATAGAAGCAACAGTGGTGGGTCAGTACGTATGAATGGCAAATAACACAAACTTAAACCTAGCAGAAACACTAAAGGACAGGCGAATAAAACCGCCGTTTTATGGCTCGTCGTTAAAGCTCGCCAGTGTAGCATTGCAATACCGCAGTTTTAAATACCGACGAGTATAGTCGTCAGTTTTTGTCAATTTTTTTGATTTTTTTCACTTCTCTTTTAAATTTTTGTATAATAGTCAGTTATGTTAGTTTGTACTACAGCTACTAAAGACAACAATTCATTGTATGATTTTTCAGACATTCTGAGATAATTTCTGTAATCAAGTGTTTCTACTAACAGTTTATGAATTAAATAGGCCTGAGACAATTCGTGCCTTTTTTCTATCCAATTTTTAACCCAAACTATACGTCGTTTTCACTTAATTTTAATTATTTCACGGTGTGCTATAGCGAGGTAACACACAACCTAAGACTGCGAACAATACATGTTATTTGAATTCCTATTCAAATACGACTGTTTTTCTCTCGATAGTCTATCAGCACAAACGAGTCGTGTGTAAAACTGAATGAGTGAATGAATGCCCAACCACAGTATATTGCTTAAAAAAATCTTTTAAGCATTAAACTTAAGTATTAAAACTCTTTTAAGCATTTAACTGTGGCCCAGCATACAACCGTTTATTAGCCACTTTGAGAAGTTCGGTGGCTCAAGGAAAAAATACTTCATTAGCGCAAGGGTCTGCAATCTTATAATATCTGGCTTTTCAAGAGAAGTATGTGATAATCAGTTTTAATTTATGCAAGGTATTCCAAGAAGAGATTTGTATGACTTCTAATAAAAAAAATAATATTAACTAATAAATATAAGAATAAAGAAGGAACTAGTATTCGTGATTGATCTGGAGAAAGCATATGACATACCACTAGGTCTCAAAGAAATGTAGGATATATTGAAAAATTTGTAGGAATGAATTAATATTACTATCCGAGGTTTTTGTTAGTTTTTATTTGTGTATATGAGATTAAAAATACATTTTTTTTTTCAATTCACTGTTGTAGATTACAATATTTAAGTTAGAAATTGTAAATATAATTATTTGTTCTGTATACATTTAATATTTAACTAGAAAATCTACCCACACTTTTGATAAATATAATATTTTCATTATTCTGTTCAGTAAAATTATTTCGATATAAAATGAAATGTATTGTCAATATAAACTTTCCTACGTTCCAATTTAGAATTTTAACAATCATTGTTCCTTGATTCTCGAGCTTCTTATCGTGCTGCCGATTTACGATGTTGGACAATCATTTGCACTCTTTACGTTGAATAAGATATATATTATATATATATATATATATATATATATATATATTATATATATATATATATATATATTACAGTAGACACAATTATCCGAGCTAATTGGGAGATCGGGTAGTTACTTAAAATAAACAAAAAATTTAATTCGTATATAATTCGTTTATTATGGACAATTGAACCATGTAAACCTATATCCACAGTACATAGTTAAAATATATAGATAGGAAACTAATTACGCACTGGACCGTCTTCTTGTTTTAAAAAAGTCTTTGATAGATTTCTGCGTCAACTTCTGGCCTCCTTTTAACGCTGTAATGTTTCGCCAACGCTGAAGATGAAAGACATCGGTAGAGTTTGACTCTTCCTGTTGCTGAATGTAAACGAGGGCAGTTCCAATCGCCTTCAATCCTACGGAGTGAGATATTTGCTGGATTATCTCATCTGTGTCATCCTCAGTGACATTGTGTGGGTTGATAACCATGTCGGCGATTGCATCATCAGTCAATTTCATTTGCTGATCTTGCATAATACACTCATTGACGTCTCCATAATTTATTAGTTCCGTTGGTAACTTATTAGCGAGGTCTACTATTTCAGCAATAAAGTTATTGTTATCTTTTCTATCACTTTTCGCTTCAATTTGAAAAAGCTTTCGTCATGACTTTTGCACAGTTGTTTCTCTTACTTCATCCCACGCTGAAGCTATCCAGTAAGAAATATCCTTAACGGTGATTTTTTAAGAGCTGCTGTCACAGTCTTTCCCTGATCCAATCTGGCCAACAACACTTAGAGAAGCCCTCAACGATAGATCCGTTTCATAGCCTCTAAAATTCTTTGGTTCAGAGGTTGAATTTGAGATCTGACGTTTGGTGGCAAGAAAACAGCTTTAGTGTCTTTAATATTGCCGTTAGCCAACGAACTTGCGTATGGATGAGATGGCGCGTTGTCCTAAAGAAGAATAGCTTTTCTTGATAGGTTTTTCTTTTTTAAGTAGGCCTTAACAACGCAAACAAACTCGTCAAAAAATCAATTTTTAAAAAATTAACAATCCATCCACGCACTACGTTGATTCATGTACATGGTGGGTAGGCGGTTTACTAAAATATTTTTAAAGGCCCTTGGATTCTTCTATTTTCCAATGGTCTTAATTTTAATGATCCAGAAGAGTTGCTACACATCAAAAGAGTTACTCTTTTGTCGAAATGTTCAGTTGTCGGATGCCATACCTCTTCTTCCATCCATCCAGTTAACCATCACTTGCAGTAAAATTTCCCTCGCCTTCCGTAAACTGTTTGTGAAATTCGACAGCCTTAGATTAAAGCATGGTGCTGCTAATTAGACTTTCTAACTCTCGAAGATTAAAAAACCATAAAAATAAGGCTTGAGAAGTCTATTCGTATTCTCCTTTCTTCATAATTTTCATTGTTCATTGTTCAATATCTTTTCGTTTACGTCTCCACAATCACTTCTCCAATACCTAGGTCAGCAGCAACCCTATTTACTGATTCACCCTTATCGCTTTTCCAAGAGTTTTAAAGCACTTAATTTTGTTTCTAAAGAAACCGCAACTCGTTAACATTTTAAACTTATATTACACTTCAAGTTACATAGAAACTACACAAACCGAACCGAACAGCTAGCTGTTATGACTCAAACTGACGGGTGGAGGAGTAGCTGGTGAGGCGGCCAGTAGAAGTGACTGGAACAATAATACTCGCTAGTGACTCATCTCTTCAGCATACCAACAACCAGCGCAACGCTTTCACTTTATCATATCACTCTTAAGCTAATTTATTACATAATTAGTTCTTTTCAATTACTACCTCGGTTAATCCAGAGGCAAGTTAATCGGGACTCGGATAATCGCGAGTCTACTGTATATAGATTGTAACGCTTTTCCTCTACATCAAAAGTGCAAATGATGGTGTTTTTGCATGGGTAAACTGCTGATGTATTGTCGGAATAAAAGGTTATTCCTAATATCGTCCTGTAGCTTAAAGTAAGATTGGATTGGCAGCTTTCTTAAATTTTAAAGATTAAATAAGAAGTCTACTGACTTCATATAGGCGTCGCTACTAACTTATACTAGTATATTTTGTTACAATAGTTGCTCGGTAGGATGGACCGAAGTCTACCCTAACGCTAGAAAAACCATATATATATATATTATATATATATATATATATATATATATATATATATATATATATATATATATATATATAAATGGAGACAAAAGAATTTAAACTTATAACATAATTATAATATTACTAATGAAGTTATGTTATTATTGATTATACCGTGCATACTTATGCTCTTATTTTATTTGTCAAAAGTGTGGGACACTACTTTATCGGGTTATCGGTTATCACTTGGGCATGCTCATTTTCCATTCGAAACACAACAAATTAAGAAAATCATTTAAAAAAAGTTAGAGACGTAAAATCATTTGAAGTAAAAGACAAAGCCAAAAACGGCCTAAGACCAATTTATTTGGTTTGTAAAAAATAAAAGCGTACTGCACTGGAAGATTATCGGTTACTTGTAGAAAATAACAGAAGAAAGTATGCGCTTTGTTGAACTGTAGAATTTATTAGACTAATTAAAACCCGCGACAATTCAATCAACATCGAAATTTGGAATTGACGACGTGATTTATTACAAACAAACTCAACTTATTCTACTTCAATAGAAGTTACACAGGCAAAGTTACATAGGCAAATCTGACAAGTAACCCAAATGTTCTAAATAGGTAAACAGTTTACCATGAACGTAGGTGAATAAAAATTTATAAATGATAAACAAACATTGGACAATAGTTTATAAAAAAAAATTTTATTAACTTTAAATTGTACTGAAAATCTTTTGCAAAGATCCTGACAGCCGGCCAAATTTATAGTTGTCCAAGAGGAGATAAAATTCAGTTACATTTAATAGTTGACACTCTGACTAAACCTGGCGACAACGCTCAAAATTCAGTGAATTTACTACTACACCCGTCTTCATCTAGACATTATCTTTTTCTACCGTTGCTGTCCACCGCTGTTCTTTCCTGTTTTTATATCATAATGCATTGATAATATCTAGACTTTGGCAAATATGCAAAATGCACATTGTGTATATTTCATGCACATATTTGGAATTTTGCATATTCCTATAAAAGTTTAGCGACCCCCACATGGCAAACAGATCAATAAAATAAGTGCTGTTATCACTAAAGAAGAGGTACAACATGCCGTCCTATTATAGAAAGATAGTAAAACCCAGGCCCTAGGACCTGATGAGGTATATGCGGCTCCTGGTACACGAAGACGGTTTGGTATTAAGCTTTTTGAGAGATTTGTTGACGACACCTAATTCGGCGACAGAAACGGAGGGGGAAATCGTGAGGCTCTATTCTCACTCAATATATTTTCATAGAAAACCCCATGAGATGAATGTGAAAATATACTACTGCTTTATAGACTATTGCAAAGCTTTTAATTGCGAACAACTAGCAGAAATACTCAAAGTAACAGGTATAGACGAGGGTGACTTACGAATTATCGCAGAAATGTATTGGCCTCAGATAGCTCAAGTAAGGGAGGAGAGCAACATGTCGGAGAAGATAGGCCATAAGTATAGATGTCCGACAGAAATGTATATTGTTCTCATTTCTCTTTAATCTGTACTCAGAAAACATTTTCCCAGGAATCATAATCAACGACAAAATAATTAATAATATAATATATACCGATGATACAATCGTTCTTGCCAGCAGCGTGATGGAACTACAAAAAATTATAGATATTGTAGTATGTAGCGAACGTTCACCATAACGAAACTTATGGTTTTCTCCAAATAACAAACACAAGCTGTCCTCCGAATACATGACAGAATCATTGAACAGTTATCATCCATCAGATGCCTGGCTGCACTAATGAATAGTAGTTACTATTAGAAAAATGCGGTCCTATAAATAATTGATCAGGCTAGGAAGATGTTTATCTGCATGACAAACTTCTTTATCAGACGGTATCTGGACATCTAATCCGAATGGTGCGCTGTTCTGTATTTTCAATTTTACTCTACGGCTGTGAGAGCTGGACTTTTAAACCCTCGCTAGAAAAACGCATCCAAGCTTTTGAAATGTACCTTTAACGGAGAATACTACGTATTTCCTGTACCAAAAGAACAACAAACACCGAAGTTCTTAGCATAATTCAGACAAAAAAAGAATTAATGTTAACGATCAAAGAGGATAAACTAACGAACATTGGACATGTGAACGAAACATGTCAGAAACGAAATACTACGATTATCAATGAAGGAAAAATTCGGAGGAAAAGAAGACAAAAATCTTGGCTCAAGAACCTGGTTGGCACAACATCGAGCGAGATCTTCAGAGCCACCATTTTGCGCGTAGTTATAACCAATTGGATCGCCAACCTTCGAAGGGAGACGGCGCAGTAAGACATTATTGCAATAAGACAAATAAGCAATTATTCAAATATGAAGCAATTATTCAAATTAACAATGGTTGTCAAATTCTTTCTGAAGTACGTAAAGTTCTAGTTGAGAATTGTTCAAAAAAAAATTAATTTAGAACCAAATATTATAACAAGTTTTAAAAAATGCCCTATTACATCCGTCAGTGTCAAAAAAAATTTTCAATTTACAAATATAATGTACCAGATATTAGCTCAGTTCTTGTCACAAGTTTTGAACATAACTTGATTATTTATTGTTGAGGTGTTATTTGAAGATGTATTTGCTATTATATTACCAATTTCTCATATTTATTTTTTATTAATGTTAATAATCAAAGTTGTTATTACTATCATAAAGCACAGCATCAATAAAAGGATTTAAATTCTGTTTCCCTATAGGTTAGAAATAAAATTGGAAATTTTTTCAATAATTTTAAGCAATTATTAAATAATAATGGTTGTCAAATTCTATAAGAATTAAGATTTGAGTTGGAAATTGTTTCGAAAAAATTAGTTTTATTATTGCAAATTACATCCGCTGATGTCAAAAGAAAATTTTTCAATTTACAAATATATGGACTCAATTAGGTTAGGTTAGGACCAAGTTTTCCACAAGTTTTTGTTACAATGTCTTTGAAAATTGTTTAGTTATTGTTAAAAGATATTTTCAATAACATTGCTGTACTAATTTTTTATATTTATTTTTTATTATTATATGTATATTTTTTAAAATAAATGTATATTTTTGGGTAAATCACTTCATATTTTTCACTTCTTATTTGCTTATTCACCTAAACTTAATGATGAATAAAAAGAAACTGCAATTTAAACAAAAACTATCTTGAGATTCAATAGAATTATCTAAGTTTGGATTATGAGTTCATTCAAGTTAAAAAAAAGATACGTTTTGCAAATTCACTTTAACATCCCAACGAATTACTAGACTGAATGTCATATTTGCTGTGTGACTTGTCTTAATTACGGCAAGAGTGAGATAAAATAAAGTTTTGTCTTCCATGTTCACGTTTTTAGTCGCATTGCTAGTATCGAAAATTAAAAAAAAAACAAAAAAAAACGTAAAGCATGTCAAAATATAACCAATAACCTGTTAGATTACATAAACGTAGACAAAGAAAACAGATTACATCATGTCAAGAAAAATTAAAGATCACATCTTCTTACTGACCCTACATATTTTTGGTTTGTATATTTTACTCTATAATTGGAATATTAATTAAGTATGTCATAATCAAAACAGTCCGGGACAGAAATGCGGTAAGTCTTGTACCTAAAAGACCGACTGCGACTTCTATATCTGTTTTCTTTATTCCCTCTAATGTTTGGTGAATAAATCTAAAATAAAAATTAAAAGTAAGTGGAATATTTCAAAGCAACGACAATATAGGCGATTTTATAGATAGAGGGTGATGATATGAGCTTGATTCTGACTTATTTATGTCAAGTATCACCTAAATTTGACTAATATCAATGTAACCATAATATAATAATTTTGCTGTAGCTTATTTCAAGTTACCCATAATGTTAACATAACCTTACTTTAGATTGTATTATAAAAAAAAGAATTAAATAATATAAGTAATTGACATAAATATATATATTAAGCAGATGGTTTAATACTAAAAATAATTTTTATTTATCATCCTTAATGGGAATTAACCACTATTTCAGTTGAAAACACGTTTATTCTGACGTTTCGATGAAACACCAGAATAAACATGTTTTCAATTGAAATTGTGGTTAATTCACATTAAAGACGATAAATAGTACTAAAATGTGACAAGAAAACAGCTTCAGAACAACAATACTTTTGTCATAGATCAGAGTTGACGGAAATAGCTAAACAGCTCTAATCATGTTGTATGGGCTTATAGACTGTGGTCTGGAATTATTTCCCACTGACGTTTCACCTGAGACGCGTCAGATATTATCAAAGGCGATGAGAGAAAGGTCGGAACTGTCTCCCAGTAACTGGCGGGAATGCTAAACTGAAAATTAAAAACAAGATTCTACACGATGATATGTCCCTGATGGGTAAATTCTTCAAAAAACATAAGCAATAAAAATTATGACAAAAAAGGTGTGAAATTTTCAAAAAAATATTCAAAAGTATTATGATAGATGTTTTGAAAGATGTGTTATTAAACTTTCAAAAGACTGTTGATAACGAAAAGTGTTTTTGGACGAAGAGATAAACGAGCTGCTTTAAGGAATCTGCTGTAAAGATGTTGCAGAAAATACTAACTGTACAAGACTATCTCAAAAATCTATTGATATTCTCACACAAATTTATCCTGACGTACAACGAGCTAACGATATTATCGTTTTCACACGAAGAAAGTGATGATGGAAAACAACTAGAGTGCGCAACTTATTCCATTGAATAGAATGGCTTTCTATTTCTCTTTATGAAACGGATTCTGGAACGAGTACGAGAAACTAAGACTAGAATGTCTTTAAAGGTTACTTCAAGGACTCAGGGCTAGAAGAAATCACTAAATCCTACACATTTCAAAAATAAACGGGTCACTTAGTAATTTAAGAACAATACGTTGCTAGCTTACTCACCAGGCGTATAAACTGGAACATCACCTTGATTTAGCGCGGCACTTTCTCCCATTGCAGGAGGCGGTGGCATAGCATATACAGGAGCATTTTGACTTCTATTGGGAGAAGGCTGGCTTGTCACCGGTGAGGCTTCACCTCGACCATCATCAGATCCATCATCCTAGAACAGAGAAATAGTAAAATAATTTAGTTATCTCTTATGTTATTTTAGCTTAAGTCTATATCTTTCTGAAACCAGTGTGCGAAGAAATTTAACGCAAACATAGCAAAAAACAAGACGACAGCAAGCTTGACATAATACTATGCATCATGCTAGTTTTATATGACGAAAAAGATGACATATTCATAAATAAATACAAATGTAAGTATCATCTTCAAACAGTAGATCGGTATTTCCTAAGCAGTACTCCATTGAACATATTCATCTTCATATAAACGAAATAAACTCAATCTATATTTAAAAAACATCCACTAGATTGACTTACTCATGACATGCTTCCCTTTATTGACAACTGAAGAAGTGATGTGATGGTGAAACTTGTAAAAATAAATAAAGTGTAATGTTTTCAAAAATATAATTTGAATTTGTTTATTTTATATATTGAATTCACCAAATAAAAATTTCACTATTTCGAAACATAATTTCTGTTTATGTCATTTCTATTGTTAAATTAATATACCTACAGATGGACTAACATTCTCTGGAAGGTGTTCTTTCCTTCATATACATCACACTTCTCACACTCAATACATCACACTTCTCGCAGCAACTTTGCAGTTAAGACAGTCATTGGTAAAATTAACATGTATTTAACTGAAAACTAATTGAAAGCGTACAGAAAAACGTATAGTCCAATATATGTAAATGAAAACATTCAATATTCGTTGTGAAATATATGAAAAACACTGTTTGATTTAACATTCCAATTACCATACGGAATTCTCCATTTAAACGGGATAGAGTATTTTTCGCATTTTTTTCAGGGTTCATTCGATAGTATAACTAGAAAGTATCTAGATAAAATTTTAGAGTGATCGGAGCAAAATTGATGGACTTCTAGTCATTTTTCAGTAAAAGTGAGTGACGTGAGGTGAATGAGGTGTGAGTTAGGGAGTGAAGTAGTGAGGTGAGTGAGGTGAGTGAGTGACGTAAATGAGTGAAGTGAGTGAGTGAGTGATTTGAGTGAGTGAGTGAGTGAGGTAAGTGAGGTGAGTAAGGAGAGTGAGTGAGGTGAGTGAGGTGAGGTGAGTGAGTGAGGTGAATGAGTGAGGTGAGTGAGTGACGTAAGTGAAGTGATGTAAGTTGAGTGACGTAAGTTAGTGACGTAAGTGAGAGACGTAAGTGAGTGACGTAAGTGAGTGACGTAAGTGAGTGAGGTGAGTTAGTGAGGTGAGTGAGTGAGCTGAGTGAGTGAGGTGAACAAGTGAGTGAGGTGAACAAGTGAGTGATGACGCGAGTCAGTGCGTAAGGTGAGTGAGCACTCACATAGAAATTGGAATAAGTACAGGATTAAGTTCTCATAATTATGCACGCGCGGCATTTAACAATGAAATCACTAGAGCAGACAAATGAAAAATGGCAGAGCTCGTCGAAGGCAGGAGTAAAAACATGCTATATATATTTTATCAGAAAGGACGTCGCTATTTTTTAAACCTGTTTTTCTCGAAATAGTTTTATTAAGTCAGTGTTCACGGTATCTCCAAAACTACTTGATCGATCCTTTTCAAATTTTGTACAATTCTTTTATAAATAAATTTCTAGGTCGCAACGTCAAGATTCAATTCGTCTTTTTTTACTTCTAAAATTTGAAACAACAATAAAATGAATATCTCGACGTTGCGACCTAGAGAAAGGTTTTTGTTTTCATGTCTTTATAAATTACGATGAACACCGCAAAGTGACTTTTTTCATCTTGGAAAATTAACTGTGTCATGGGCTCAATTTTTGATATTTGTGTACCAAAATTTTAGAAAATCTTGTAGTATGTTGTGTACCAAATTAGAAATACTCTTGTAATGTTATACATAAATTTAAATTTACAGAGACCCAACAGACGGTGGACATGGATTGCACCTAACGGAATTACCAAAAATGAAATAGACTTTTTTGTCTCAAATAACAAAAGAATATTTGAAGACGTCACAACAATAAACAACATAACAACTGGTAGTGACCATCGTATCATTAGAGGGAAAATAAATATTAACATGAAAGAAGAATAAAAACAATGCGGATATATGCCTTTAAAGTAAAAACACATGAAGAATAATTCCGAAAGGTCTTACGGGTAAGTTTGAATTAGATCGTTCACATAATCAAGACCAAATTTATATATAAAAACCTTCTCGAAGCCTGACTACAGATCGAAAAGAAAACAAGAACTAAAGAAGACAAAATAAGCAACGAAACTAAACAACTAATGAAGGAAAGAAGAAAAATTCTAGACGAAAACAGAGGCCAGAGTCAAGATTACGTAGAACTTAATATAACAATTAAAAAAGAACTAAAACACGACATAAAAAAAATGGAACGAAAACTTAATAGAGCAAGTCATTGAAAACAACAGACGCCTAAAAAGACCAACACTGGGTGTCCAAAAATCATCAAAATTAAAGACACAAATAATAAGGAAAAGAAGGAGAAGCATAAAATAACAAAGATAGATAAAATAACATAGATACAAGACTTACACAAAACCTTGTACAGTTGGCAAAGCCAGATTATGAATGAACAAAAGAAAAGGTGAAAAGAAAAATAAAAAGCGTGGGATCAAAGGGTACTACCAAATATAGAGGAATTCGAAATAGAATGAGCTTTAAAAGAGCTAAAAAATAATAAAGCTCTAGGACACGGTGGTATAATTGCCGAGCTCTTAAAACCGAGCAATTCAAGTCAAGACAGAAACAATCCATATACTAACAGAGCCATTTAATGGATGTCTTCATAATGACAAAATCCCTAAAGACTGGAACGAGTAGTACTTTTTCACAAAAAAGGGGACAAATGTGACCTAAAGAATTATGGTTAAAGATAAAGGTATAAAGGTTAAAAACAAGGAATACAACAAGCTGAATTTGATCTGAAAATAAATGTTAAAACCAAAAAATGGATCATATTTAGCAAAAATTCTAACCCATATCATCTTAACGGTAGAAACATACTGGGTAGCAATATTATTGGGAGAGTAGGACCTTATAGATGCCTTTATATCAGGCGGTACAGGTTTTATTAAGATTGACGAGAGTAGCAACTGAAATCGTAGTAGAAAACTACACTGCTTCTCCCATGCTCTCTTTAATATTCTTTTACTACCCTAACAACTGTATAGTGGGACAAATTAAAATATATAACAAATTCAGATGTTCAACTGTCAATTTATTATTATTTAAGCGAAGCTTCTGTTGTATTACGTTCTCTCTATAGTAAAATGCTGAGGGTAGCATCACGAGTAGCGTCAGGAAATAGAGGTTCTTCACATGATTCACTACTCTCGATCAATTCGTTTCTAGTCATCATATAATTATTCTAAGCAGGTTTTAATTAAAAACTGAATGAAAAATAACTAGCAAAATACATACATTAAATGAGAAGTAAAAAATTAAAAGAATATCTGCCAGTAAAAGATTAGATTCGTCACGATTTTCAAAATATAAAAGTCATAAATGTCGTCCAATTAATAACAATATTGAATCATCTGTTTAAATTTTTATGACACTTCTCGTTTTAAAATAATTTCCTTATAATAATTAAATTTACTATCAGAAGATATTTATTTATATTTTATTCTTAATTTAATATTTTGTCTTAATTGGACAGGTCTTTCGTAAGTAAACAAAGTATGGTTTGTTAATACGTTAGCATATGGCGTTAAGAGCAAACATAATGATTTATTGGATTATTTTAATATTAATATAATTTAAATGAACAAAAATTTTGAAACAGAAACTATTAAAGTCGTCAAAATAATTATATATTTAGTTTTTATAAATAGTTTCTGTTTCAAAATTTTTGTTCATTTAAATCATGCGCAAATTTGAATTAATATAATTTGTTTGAAATATAAATAACAAATAAACAAGAAAATTAATGTATTCACTTTAAGAAATTTATTTAAATTTTTAAAAATACAGAGAACATAATACGAAGCTTCGTGTTACTATTGTACCGCCTACTGTACCATTTTTGTTTTAATAATTATGTTAATAATGCTACATAAGCAATATTTAATGATAAATAATCCTGAAACGTAATTAATATTTTTTTAAAAGATCCATATAACCTAATGTAATAAGGATCATCAAAATATGTAAGTGACAACTAAAGAATAGGACAGTATGAAGTAACTGCCAAAACCAAACAAGGTAAGACAAGTAGGCTGAGAAATCATGCAGCCAGATACTCCAACAAACCTCAAACTATAAGTGACTCGTATTATTTCAATAAAATGGTGCGTGGTACTTTACATATTCAAAAATTTGTGAGTTTGAAATTAAAAATAATCGCCGCAATAAAACAGATCGTGAAGTGTCGGATGAACTTAATATTTCTAAAAAAAAACACTGTGGAATATAATTAAGCATTGTGGGAAACAGGAAGTATCTTAGATAAAAAATTAAACGCCCTGGTCGTCCAAAACTAGTTTCTAATGGGAATAGGAAAATACTAAAAGTTTAAAAAAATAGGTCAAAGAAAGTAAGTCACAGCTGAATAGAATCAATAAAACTGAATAAAATGTATCAAGGGATTGCTGTTGCAAGTGGATACATAAATTTGGATTAAATTTTTTTATAAGGTTGAATTACAGATAACAATTTAAAAGTGCACTCGTAGTTTAAAAAATTATAAACAGTATGAACAGTAGAACAAAAGGAAGCTAGGCTGATGTGGGCAAAATCGAAACTTTGTTGGTCGGTAGAAGATTGGTCTCGAGTAATTTTTAACGACGGATCAAAATTCGACGTATGTGTTGGTGATCACCGCAAATGAATTATTTGCACTAAGAACGAGGCTTTAACAAGTACTGTTTGAAAACGGACCATAAAATTTCCTACAATTTACTTTTAAAGTATTTCCTAAGTAAAGCGTGATTATTTGGGGAATGTTTTGAATTTATTGATGAAGAGACATATGAGTATATATTTAGTCAAATTAATACACAAATAGAAAATACTAGAAAAATAACATTGGCAATGACGTTGATCCCAATGTTTTATGTGATAAAACCACAGCATCCACCACTGGCTATTTTATATTAGGTGTTGTGATTATGTCTGCCATTCCTCGTCGTATCCAACGTGAGTACACTCAGTTTGCTCCGATAGCTTCAGACATTCTAGCAGCTATTCAGTGTGCCATACAAATGTCTTTAAAAACTGTAAACCGAAAATCTTATAAAACTGTCAAAACGAACGAGTGACAAACGTGATATCTAAAAAAGTACCAATATGTGATTGTCAATATATTCTAAGTCAACACAATTGTTGAGGTTAATTCCTTTTATGTGTCCCACAACAGGCGAAAAAAGGTAGCATTGATGTAAACTTTTTCTCTTTAAGAATTCCTTCTCCATTTTCCATTCAAAATAATTATGATATCGTCGTTGTTTATTCTATTTAGCCCAACAACTCTTAATATTCGGCGATAAATTCACATTTTTAAGACCTCCAGTTTATTGAGCTGCGCTGATGTCACATGTTGCATTCCAAGATCCGCAATATCAAAACGTATAAAGAACTTTTTGGATTTCAAAATGCATTTTGGGATCATCTCTTCTATGCATTTTTTTTCTGTCTTCTCTTTTATTTTCACAATTCCAGAAACTCACTATAGCAATCATAAAATTAGGAACTATGAAGAGAGGAATTTACACAGTATAGATAACTTGGTCACGACTTAACAATCACTAGAGCCCAACTACATAAAGAGATAAAAAGAAGATTGGTTTAGTCGTGCTGCATACGACAATCTAAAAGCCTTATATGTAATCGGCAAATCCTTATGAGACTTTACAGAAAGGTATACAATCAATAGGTGCTCTAACACGCGGATATTAACATTGACACTCACTATAAACAATGCAAATGAACTAAATACATACAGAAGAAAACGGATTAGAAATTATCCTAAAGGACAACGTAAAAGAGATTTGCAAAAAGAACAGTGAGCAGATATTAAAAAAAAGTATCAAAGACAAAATGGAGATTTTGTAAGTAAAATGACTGAACAATGATAAATAGGATAAGACCATTATTATAGGATATGAAGATTATTATATAAGAAGAATCTGGACAGACTACCAGCTCGAAGGACAGATGATGTATACACAGAGAATATGATTATACTTTGATACAATTTGCTTAATACAGAAATCACTGGTGGCGCAATTCAAAGTACGCAAGAGAATCATAATATTTGTTATAGTTCTTCAATGTTCTTATCCATTATCCTATACAGTACTCTGTCGTCAATATACTTTATTTTATATTAATGTAAACCCCATTTACTTTTATTCCGAGAGGGTAGCTATCCAAATCGTCACTAAAAATATCGAAAAGTGTGATAAAATGCATTAGTACTCTCCTCTTCGTATTATAATGTCCTGTGTACTAATACCCATTAACTGGAGAATAAATGGAAAAAAGAACGCTTTTTATAGTAATATGTATAAAACATAAGTATTATAACTGTTAGGTTATTTTGGATAATTTAATTAAATGACTTGATTATATTTGTACATAAATGTATTGACGTTATAGACAATTTAAAAACTTGAAAACAACATAATTAAGATTGTAATTACCACCTAAAACAAATAATAATTCCAATAACATCTTTTGTATTCCATGTAACATACTTTTTGTGAGGTGGTTTAGTAATTACTGTATTTAATGTACATAAAAACAAGTATCTATTTTTTCTCATAACCAGTATACAATTTGTTTTTCCCGGGATAATAAAAATGATTATGAATATTACACTGAATACTATAATTTTGTCCCACGCTCGTTAGAAAATAAGATTGTATCCTACTTAGAAATACCTACGGCAGTACGTGGCAGCCTCAATAAATATGGCTTTTCGTCAGCCATATATTAGCCATGTTTTTCATACAGATTTGACAATGACGTATAATATATTATACGGCCTACGTACTGGCTTATAAATTTATAAAGAAATATTTATTAAATAAATATTTTCTTTTATTTAATAAAGAAATGATACTGTTTCTTTTTTTTCAATAGCTATACTTTCTGTCGTAGTTTTTATCTTAATTGCTAACCTACATAACTAACTAAATAAAAAATATATAAGAAATAAATAAAAATATATAAAAGAGAAAAATGTGGAACTTGGACAGTCCACAGTAAAGTAGCCATTGCATTAAATAGATAGCTGAAGAGTTTGCTGTGGAACTCTGAGGACCTTATCACCTATTTTACATATAAATAACTAAAAAGTACCTAATAGAAAAAAAAAACTAGAAACAAATTACCAAAAAAAAGACTATATATTAGAGATCAATACTATTAGTAATATATTTAGGATACGTTTGTATATGAAACAATGACTAATAAATAAATTAGTAAAAATTGTAAGATTGTCGAATCGATTTAGTGTCCGCAGTCATTTAAACACAAACAAACACAACACTAACCTAACCTAACATGTTTGTTTACAAAAAATCTGTTCGAAAAAAATGACTGACAATATTTTTTAATGAAAGGTCCTATGAGTCAGGAAAAACGAAGCGTTATTAGCTTATTGTTTGATGAAAACGGAATAAAACATAAACAATGCATTGGACTTAAAAACTTGATAATTGTAATCAATGTAAAAATAAATTAATAAACGACTAATAAAATAATAAATCGCTCTGGTGGTCTTTTTGTGGCGTTTTGTGAAAGATAATAATTGATAGATGAACACTTGAAGAAATTGGAATATCCGAAAATCAGTTTGGAACTTTGGAGACAGTGTGAGTTGTCGATGTTCATTCTGCAACAAAAACTTCTAACAATGTCCACTGATCCCGACGAATCAAAAAATCCTACTCTTACGTCCCCGAAGGCTAGGCTGGATGCATGCGTACTAATACTATAAAACAGATCATGTGATTATCTTGTAGAATTTGCAATTTCATTGATTCTTTGGTATATATATTGAAATCCCCTCGAATGTATAATATATTGAAATCCCCTCAGATATGTTTGAAAAAACAAAGAATTTTTTCCATGTTTCTTAGTTCGTATTTTTCGAGTTAAAATACCCGAAATATATTACCTCGATAATTCTTTGATTTAAGCTGCCCGATGTACTGCGCTTTCAAATTAATAATTGACGTCTTAATTTTCGTTGTTTTGTTTATTTCAAGTTATGTGAATGAATTTTAAAGATAATTTCAGGACCTTCGTTGGTACCGCGGTGAAGAGCGGTAGTCTTCAACGTTATGTCCAAATTTTTCGTCTAATTTGAAATGTTTCTTTGTTTTTCGTCTTACGTTATGGAAGATTAGTAGTTTTGCTGTTAATTGTGCAGTACGTGTTACGTTACCTGCAGTTGTTCCAGGTTTGTAAAAACTGGAACAACTTCGTGTTCGGAGATTTCTCATCCAGTCCTAACCACAGAAACTTAAATGGATCTAGTTCCCGATCCATTATGCAGAGTGAAAAATAAAGTGAAATTTAAGGTAACTTTTGTGTATAAATTTTAAAGTCAAGATAGACATTTTTTTATAACAATAATTGCTTTCATCAAAATTTAAAGATTGTAATAATCACAGAACACTAATCACAACCAGAAGCGAAAGCTTTGTCGGAACCTTTGATGTTGGGAGGACAGAAATTCAGAGTGACAGTAGCAATGAACCTACATTTGATTACACGAAGAAAAGTAGTGAGGAAGTCGTTCAAAACTGTAGTAAATGATAGTTACACTGAGAAATGAAGTAATCATTTTTAAGTAATCTGTTTTGTATGAATTTTATTTTTTCTGTAAAAATTATTAAAACTTATATATCAATTCTGAACTGATAATTAAAAAGTTGTTAAGTCAAAAATATCGATTTGTTTTTTTAACAAACAAATTAACGTACTAAAAGTATTTTAGTATGTTAAAAAACCGATTGAATTTGAGAGTTAATTTTAAAATAGAGATGAAAAGCTTGATTTCTATTACTTTTTATCGTTTTTTTAAGGTTAATAAAACACTTTATCACTCAAAATCTATATTTTGTTACTTATCAATACAGAATTATACTTTTGAAATTTCTATTACTTTGTCTTAAGTTGCTGACTTTTTTGTTTCCTGTTGAGGAATTTCTTTGAATGTGAATATCTATTAACCTCCAACACCACGATATTTTCGCTGCGCGTAAAAACTCTGCAGCTGCGGCTAGAATGACTGTATACAAAATGACCTTAGATTTCTTTCTATGCATCTGAGGTCTCTGAAACTTCTGGTTGTATTGTAGTAAAAATTCAACTCGCCAGGACATATCAAATTTATGGTAGGAAAGGGTAAAAAGTTGTAATAAAACAGAATAATAAAAATTTATTGTAATTAATATACACATATACCTCTTCGATTTCTCTTTCTGTGCATCTGAGGTCTCTGAAACTTCTGGTTGTACAGTATTACATTCAATTCGCCTGGATATATCACTTTTGTAGTAGGGAGGGGTAAAAAATTGTAATAAAACACAATAATAATAATAGAAATTTATTGTAATTAATACTAATAATAATGTTTATTTAGGAAGCTTAGATTATAATATAGATTTAAAAAAATAAGCATACTTAACACTAAATAAATATAAAAAATCACTGAAATAGAGCTACCATAAAAGTAGCACCCCTTGTGTGTGATACTTAAAAAATATATGTGCAAAAAAGCAAATATTTAACAAATGTATTAATATAAACAGTTACATATGCGCACTTACAAAAATACATTCATTTTAATATAGCATGTGACATAAATATGTCAATAAATTCAAAAAATATTGTAGTTGGTAAACAAGGTATATTTCGATATTTTTATTTATTACTATGATCAATTAATCTGCTCTTCGCAGAATTGTGTTATTTTGTTTCCAATCCATTGTTTAGTTTTATACTGATATCTATGTTTTTTATAACTCTTAATTTGTTTTAAATTCTCCGGTAGACAATTGTATCATTTGGGCCCTATGTAGCCAACACATTTCTGGAGTATGGATTTATTACATTTGGATAAAATTGCATTATTCCTTATATATCTAGTTGGATGCGCATGCTTGCTAATGTATAATAGTATCCTTTTTTATTTCATGTATGTGTATAAAGGCTTTGTAAGAGACCAATTTACGTACAGTTAAAAATTTATTCTCGTTGTATAACAGTTTGCTGTAATATCTTAATCTTTTTCATAAAAATCTAATTAAGCACTTCTGAATGTTTATAGAATGCAAGTAAATATTCCTTATTCCGCCCCATTCTAAAAGACCATTATAAGCATGGATAAACATAACCCGGATGGGAATAGAATAGAAATATATGCTTTATTGTCATTGAAAATTTTACAATTTTATGG